ACAGAACTAAGTCCAGTATATTATTGCAGTAATGGGATTCAGTTATATATATATATATATATATATATATATATATATATATATATATATATATAAATATATATATGTATATATATATATATATATATATATATATATATATATATATATATATATATATATATTTATATATATATATATATATAAATATATATATATATATGTATATAATATATATGTATATATATATATATATATATATATATATATATATATATATATATATATATATATATATATATATATATATATATATATAAATATATATATACATATATATATATATATATATATATATACATATATATATATATATATATATATATATATATATATATATATATATATATATGCAATCAAATCACTGTAGGTGATGAGACCAGGTCCACAATGGTCAGGTCTCACCCTCCTCTGTATATATACACCTTGGCTTGTATTTCTCGTTAGTCTGTACTCACCCCTGAAGATGTGAATTACACGAAAGCACTTGGGAACTTCGTGTTTTCTTCTTTCCTTGTGGTTATCAGCATATACCTAGATCACGCGCACCTACAGTGATTTGATTGCATATATATATATATATATATATATATATATATATATATATATATATATATATATATATATATATATATATATATATATATATATATATATATATATATATATATATATATATATATATATATATATACATATATATATAAACTCGTAACACAGGTGCTGGATGCCAAAGATGCACTGCCGAAAGTGATGGCGGGGAGCTATTCATTCATCAGCTTCAGGAACTACATCAGTGTTGTGGTCGCTTCTCAGTATTCTGACGAACGCGGTCAGATTCCATTCCACATTAGCCAAAAGGGAATATACATCCTGGCTGCCTTTGGTTGGGGGTTTAGGTATGTATGTAGAAGTTCTTTTCCAAATGACTGTTTCTGAAAGATTAAATACAAAATACACACCAATGACGCCAGTCTCTCTTCACATTGAGACTTTCTTTTTATCTTTAATGAAAAATGAAAAAAAATCAGACGTTCTGGCGGTGTTTACAATTATTTTATTACCATTCTCATATTACTTACCTTACACTGTCGTGTACTGACAGCACTCGGGAGATATATACGCCAATTTGAACCCCTGCGCTTGTTGAGACTCAGACCCATGTTTAATATTCTTTCTGTACAATTTATTCAATAATTTCTGAGAACAGTACTACACCAGAAGGAGTTATTCGATTTCGTGCATTTTTCCAGTGATGTTGTTATCATTTTAAAAGAGATGACAACTTTCTTTATAATAAATCACCTGTAGTGAGCAGGGCATGGAGGATGAGGGAAATTACGGGGTAAAACAGGGTAAAAAGCTGCTCATCTAATATACTATAGGACTAGGCGTGTGTGTGTGTAATAATAATAATAATAACGATAATAATAAACGGTTTATTTATAGAGTTGCAGCCGGTGGCTGAAAATATACAGACTTACATTTGATTTAGACATAATGATATAATATGTATTGAGTATATTTACAGGGCTGTACAGTACATAAATCAGGAGTTGTTTATAATTTTAACAATAGATGGGATGGTGCTGTTCTTATATCTATCGGTGCGGGTTCTTATTGCTGAATTTTGTTGTAGTGGCGGACTGCGCGAGTTGGGTTGGGGGCTGCAGGTGACAGGAGGTGGCGATGACGAGGGTGGTGCAGTAGTCCACTGCCAAACCTTTCCAGTGCTTGGTGGTGGAGGTCACTGAGGGATGGCATTTCCAGGGTGGAGAGAGTGTTGGTGTAGCCAGAGTATTCTGCGCCGAGCATGATTTTGCAGGCCCTTTTCTGTACCTTCTCTAGCTGACGTTGTTGGGTGGAATTGAGAGAAGACGACCAGGCTGGTAAGGCATACGTTAGTTTGGGGAGAATAAAGGCGTTGTAGATGGTCCTCAGCTCTGGCGTGGGTGTCCCAAGTGACCTAAGTCGTCGTAGCATGTGGAGACGGTACGAGGCTGCCTTGACTGTGTTATTTATATGGGCCTTCCAATCAAGTTTGTTGTCTATAGTTACACCCAGGAGTTTGGCAGACTGCACCAGCTGGAGAGGATGGGCACCCACTGTGACTGCTGGGGCTTGCACTGGAGTGGTGGCGGTATTGATGTGCATGACTACGGTTTTGGTGTGGTTGATGGCGACCTTGTTCTCCGTAGTCCATGCCTGTAGCCTGTCAAGGGTGCCTTGTAGCGATGAGTAGTCTGGTGCAGTGTTGTCCACTGAAACCCCCACAGTGCAGTCATCCACGTACTTTCACCTGTGAGGAGTGTCCGATAGAGCGTCGTTGATCAGGAGTAGGAAGCACAGTGGTCCCATCTTGGTCCCCTGGGGAACACCGCAGGTGAGGTGTTGGAATGTGGAGACCAAGCCCTGATACCTCGCTGCCTAGCGACGTCCACTCAAGAAATCAGTGAGCCATGAGACCAGGTTGGTGGGCAGCCCTAGTGCAATAGCCTTGTTGATAACAGTGCAGTGATCAACAAGGTCAAAGGCCTTCCTGAAGTCCACCAGGGCAACGGCCTTTGATGTCTTACGTTTCTGCAAGTTTTTGTGCAGAAAATCCAGAAAGCTCACCAAGCAGTGTGATGTAGAGGAGGTCCTCATATTGCCAAATTGCTGTGGATCAATTGACTGATAGATACTGGCAAATGCCCACTCAAAAACAAAGTCCTCACAAAGTAGACTGGGTATGGGGGTAATGGCAACTGGCCTGAGGTCGTTAGGGGACTGTGGGGTGGTGACCATGGGGGTGACACATGCGGTTTTCCATTCATTAAGGCATTTGCTTTGTCTGAGGGATGCATTAATAATAGAACAGAGGGGGGTGGCAAGTTCGGCTGCAAACTCCTTGTATATTTTGATTGGGAGGTCAATTGGGGTCATGGAGCGTTTGGATTTAAATTTCAGGAGTTTGTTGGCGATTTCATATGGTTGGACACTGGGAGGGGGAAGGTAAGTAAGGTGAGAGGAGAGTGAGGTCAAGACTGGGTAAGGTATGACATATGGTAGCAAAATGGTTATTAATTATCTCAGCTGCCTCCTCACTAGGTAAATGTGAGATGGAAGGAAGTGTGGGAGACTGACGGTTGGGACCACAGATATCTTTTACCTTGGAGTACCACTGACCGATGCCGACTTCCTTGAGGCCGTGCACTTTCCTGGGATAATAAGTCTTCTTGGCAGACTTGATTTCCCTGATGACCTGGTTACGTAGACTTTTGTACAGGCGGTTGTTGGTGTAGTATGCCTTGTTGCGCTGCTCAATAAGTCTTTTTATGCGGGGCATAATCCACGGGACATCATCAGGGTGGATCCTCAGTGTTTTGGCTGGAAAGAAGTGGTGGTAGGCTTTGGTGATAGTGTCCAGGTAATTATCCCACTTGTTCTGCACATCGTCTACCGTGATCATTTCAGTCCAGGGGTACCGGGTTATCCATTGTCCAAAACGCCGCATAGCAGAGTCGGGGGTTGGTCGGTAAGTCTTGGTGGCAACTGGCGGTGGTGAGAAGGTGGGGGTAGGTGACCACAGTAGGGACAGGTGGGGGCTGCGTCCCATGGGAGGCAGCGGCTGGGGGGAAGGTAGTGGTTACCGTGGTCAGTCATAATGAGATCAAGGGTGGCATTGCCATGTGTGGGAAAGTCTACTATTTGTGTGAGGTGGAGGTGTTGGGTGATGTCACTGATGTCAAACTCATTGAAGTCACCGCATATCACTAGTTTAGCACATGGGAATCTGTATCTCAGGGAGTCAGCAGTGTCTATAATATGAGTAATCAGTACATTGGCGGTTGGTGCGCGGGGGGGGGGGATGATAGCATACACAAACAATGAGGGAGGCAAGCTGGTAGGGGTGGGAGGTGGGAGTGACCTGAACCCACAAGGCTTCTACATCTTCAGGTACATTAACACATAGGGGTGATGGTTTGAGGTCACTGCTACAGTACAGAACTACACCCCCACCTCTCCTGTCCTTTCTAAGGTGGTGAAATAACTCATAGTTTTCTATGGCACAGATCTCAGGAACAATTTGCCACGCCTCGGTAATCGCCACAATACCAGCACCAACTGACTTCACTGTAACACTGACCTCCTCCAATTTCTTGCATAAAGATGTAACATTGGACAGCAATACGGATGGTAGGCTGTACCATAGTCGCGGCACTTCATAGCGAGCACACTGTCTTTCTGGCACTGGCTTGACTTTCTTATGCTTGCTCAGCGTGATGATAGGGATTCGTCTGAGAATGCGGCGACCCCGTCTGCAGCCGCAGTTGTGGAAAATACTCAGCGCCTTTAGTAGAGTGATGGTGTGGTGTGGAGGATAGCCAGCACCAGATTTCAGCCGAAACAGGTCGGTGCGACGATATCGTGCCACTGGAACACACATATTCACAAGTCTGGCACTTACAGTCACTGACACCTTGAAAATACGCACTGTCTACCCGTAGAAGTACTGAACTACCTTAAGTAACTACAGGTCGACGTGATGACCTTGGCTGCTGCTGAGCGCCAGGAGACACGTCCTCACTCAGTGAGGTCACTAAGTGTGGGCAGCCGAAACGGCACAATCGTTTTTCATCAAACTTGGTGGAAAAATCGCAAAAAATTCGTAGAGTGCAACAAACCTGGTCCCATATCGATGGTTTCTTTAGGAAGCCATTACATAACCATTTTATTTACGATGGAAAACGATGCAAGTCTACGGACTTGGTGCACCCTCATTCGCTGTATGCTGTCAGCCCACGATTGCAGTTATTGTACGGCTCCCTCCTCCTCCCCCCCACTTTTTTTCTTAGCCTACTTTTTTTTAATGTTGTTTGCATTAGTAAAGGAAGGAAGATGAGTAAATAGAATTATAAAGACGGGGAAACAGAGAATAGTTAGAGATAACAGGTGGGGGGGGGGGGAGCTGAGTTTCATCTTGCGTCTGGACGTGCAGTTTCAACTTTTCCAGACGACCTTACAGCTACAGTGTATACTTATTCCTGTGGCTGACTGGAGATGGAAAAAGAGAAGAGATAAAAAGATAATAACAGGAATGCATGGAGAAGATGACTACAATAGACACAGGGTGAATATAGACAGTGAAACAGACAGGAGGTTGTCAAAAATAGACAGATTCATACATGCACAAATAGACAATATGGCAACTAACATGACAGACAGGAAGCTGACTGACTGGTTCACATTAGACAAACAGGCAGACACACGCCAACAACGGATAAGACAGACAGATTTGACGACACAAAGAGTACAGACGGGCTGACATTCAAACACCACGCAGACGAACAGACAGTTGGGATGGCAATAGACAGGTCGGATAGACTTGAGACAGAGTAGAAGGCATTTATAAACAAGAATAACACCAATTTGACCATAGCTGAGTCAGTGAGGGTAGGAGGTCTTACATCCACCAGCGTAATTAGTAAGACTCATTAAAAATTAACACCCTCGCGAGGAAAAGACATCGATGGGCGGTCAGTCATCTGAGATGGGTCTAAAACTGACTAACGTAGATGATGACTATTATGACTTCACACAGGTGATGACTTAAGCAGATGTTGACTAATATAACCAAAATCAAGGTCAGTTCTCTTCATAATATAATTTATCTCAGAATGATCATCTGTGATTCATAATATTTTTTTTTATGATTTTAACCTCTCCTTATGGCGAATATTTATTTAATTAATTATTCTAGCCTTTATTCTATTCCTTCTTATAGTATATTAGATAGTGTAAGTATCACGACCATGAACCATGATTATAACAACCACGACCATGATTATAACAACCACGACCATGATTATAACAACCACGACCATGATTATAACAAACACGACCATGATTATAACAA